CGCTCCTACTCCTCACCACCCCCCGCCGCTCCCCCCGCCCCACCACCCGCGGTACCCGCCGCACCTCCGCCCGTCGAGGGGCGCGGCCCGGCCCTGCAGGCCTCGCGCCAGCCCCCTCGCGGCGGCGGCTCCCCGCCGGGCCGCTCCCCGAGCCCGGGGCCCTCCCCGCTCCCGCCCGGCGCCCCCGCAGCGGCCCCGGCCCGGTACCTGCGCCGCGCTCGCCCCGTCGGCCCCGCGTTCAAACCGGCCCCGCCCGCCCTGACCGGGACCGCGTCACGCGCTCGCTGCGCGCCTGCGTCACGCGCACGTCACGGCCCGCGCGGGGAGCGCCGCGCGCCGGCACGGGGCGGGGGCGGTTGTCAGGGGGCGGGGCGAGCCGCTGCGTTGCTATGGAGATGCCACGCCTACTCCGCCCGCTGGCTCGCCTGCCATTGGTCGAGCCGCTGGCCCCGCCCACACCGGGGGTCCCGCGTGCCCGAGGGGTCGCGCTGGGCTGGAGCCCGAGGGTGCGACGGGAGCGCTCCGGCCGCGGGCACCGGCAGAGCCCGACCCTGAACACCCGGCACAGCCCGGCCCTGAACACCCAGCACAGTCCGGCCTCAACCCTCAGCACAGCCCGGCCCTGAACACCCAGCACGGCCCGGCCTCGACCCTCAGTACAGCCCGGCCCTGAACACCCGGCACAGCCCAGCGCGGCTCCAGCTCTCCTTGCACACCAGCACCAGCCACCTTGGTGTCACTGGCATCACCTCAGGGGCAGCAGGAGAGGGGCAGCTGGGCTCCCTGGCTGTTCCCCTCCTCCCACTGTGAACCCCATTTATTTACCCAATAAGACTGTCCAGCCATACAGAAATACTCACTTTTAATCAGACATGATAAATGGTAAACTGTCGACATTATTTTCCCCACATGGAAACCAGTGAAATCATGTGGACTTGGCAGAGTTGCGAGTTTCCACATTCCAGGTTAAAAAATCATGAAATGTGTAAAAAATTATACATTTCTCTCATTTTTAAAAGATGTTCAACATTAAAAATCCTTAACCTAAAAAAATAGCACCAGGGAGAGTTAGAAACCTTTAAAAAGTATCAAAAAGGAATTTCTGAGATCCCCTCCCTTAACAGCATTTTATAAACTCAATAAAAGGCAGCTCTTACAGGGAAAAACATTTCAAGGAAGACTTGTCTACTACAATTCTCATCAAGTGAGCTTAATGCCAAGACAATTCTCATTCCTCTTTTATCTTTGTTTACTTTCCCCAAGTCCTTTTTTTCCCCCTCATCTATTTGTTTTCCTTTTGATCAGATAGGAAAGGATGTGAGATCTGGAGTATGTAAGATCAGGGATGCCATGGAGTGGAGGGCACGTGTTCGCCCAGTCTGGAAAAATCAAGCCCATCAGACTAGAGGATGGCTGTCACCCTGAGCCCCTGCAAGGACCTGGGATGAGGAATTAGTGTTGTGGCTGGGGTCCAGCTGGACGTAAGGATCACATTGGCGAGGAGTCCAAAAGCAGCTGGAGCAGTGCTGGCAATGCCAAGGCTTCCCAAAGCCCTCCAACATGGCACAGAACCCACCCTGCAATCTTCCCAGTCCAGGGGCTGGTGACAAGAGGGTGCTACATGTCCCCAAGCACTTGTCAAGCATTGGATGTGCCAGCAGTGACATGGACCAGCCTGCTTGGCTTTCCCCAGAGTTTTCTTAACAAAGGCATGTGGTTTGAACAAGAATGAACCCCCGAAGTTCTCTTGAGTAACCTCCAGGTTACACAGGGAAAAAAAGCCTTTAAACTACCTGGGCTTCCCTTGCTATCCATTCCCAAGTACATCTTTGGATTGGAGACCAAGAGAAGATGGTCCTCAGAGCTAGGATGGAAAACTGCACACAAGGGTAGAAAATGGGAGGCTGCTGTCCTCCACCACAAGGACAGGGGTGCCAGAGAGGTAGAAGGAGCTGGGAGAGAAGCTCTTCCCAGTTATGCTGTACAGCACCTTGCAAGAGAGCAAGCATTGGTTGGGTGGAGGGTTGGTTGGCCCACGGTTTGAACCTGAATAGTTTGAGAAGGGCTCTTCCAGAGCCAGGTGACAGGTGAACAGCAGAGGTAGGGGAGGACAAAGGGACCAAAGGGGGAATGGTTTCAGTGCATTGAAATGTGCATTGGAATTCAGAATCCCCAGAGATGCCTGCTGGAACAGTAGCCCAGTGGCTATGGAAAACCTGGTGGAAATGGACACAGGCACCTGCACCTTCCCGGTGGCCACAGGCTCAGCGTGCCCAGGACAGCATGGACTGCATGATAATCACTCTGGCAAAGCTGGAGAGTAGAGGAAGGCAATCAAGTGAGTACAGTGGTGGCCACAGGAGCTCCCAGTTTGGGGGTACAGCCCCAGGAGCCCCCAGGGTGCTGCCAAGCTGGGGCTGGACACACAATCCCACCTCTGTGCACAGGGATGCACAGGGAGATGGAAGCACAGGGGAGGAGAGGTACAGCCCCCTGCCTGCAGACCCCTGCAGAACCCCCCAGCAGTGGCAGTGCTTTCCTGCCTCACTGTCCCATTCCCTGTGCACTGCATGAGACAGGCACAGGAGAGAACAGTGCTGGTCCCTGCACTCCACAAGGGTTGGGTGAGATTTTCCCTGGAAGGAATGCCCTGCCACCACTGCTTGGGTTCATGACATCCTACATGACATTTGGGGTGCTGAGATTTGAGGGTGCCATTGACCATTACACTGTTCTTCCTGCTGACATACCACATTCATTTGGGAAATGGATGCTCCAAGAACATCTTCCTTATACAGGCCCTGGAGCCCAAATCCTCCCTGCTCCAGTTACTGTGTAAGCTTTCAAACCATTCAGCAGGATTTTAAAATGTAAGAAAAGGTTTTAGATGTTTTAAAAAGGAAGTAGTGAATATTTGTAAACTACAACCAAACATATAAAACAGTATTTCTTTAGTTCTAGCTAGAAAAGTAATTCTATCACCTCACAGTTCAGTTTCAGCTACATTCAGGTCTAGGAATCTCCACATTCTTATGTAATGCCTTAAAGCAGCAATAGACATAAAAAACAACAAAATTAAATTGTATCAAAAAAAAGAAAAAAAAAAAAAAAGATTTGGTTTTTGTATGATCCTGTGTTCAGTGTGTAACCTGAGCAGGGTCCCTTACACCTGCTGCTACAGTTTGGGGGTTTTTTGGCAGTTACTTCAAGAGGTTTTGTTAGTTTAGGAAAAGCACCAATTCACTGTAGTTCAGGTTTGCCTGCAGCTCCCCGGCAGCTGCCCGCACACAGGCTGCTCAGCAAGCGGTGACTTCCCGGCTCCAGGCTAAACCGGAATAGTTAATGCTCTGGAGAATGAGGCTCCCCGTCTCATCAGTGATGCATAGAGCTTCGTGTGCTGGGTAATTAAAGCTTTGTCCATCATTTCCTACATATCACTGTTAGTCCCTTTAAAGAAGTTACCCTGCCAGGTTCTTTGGTTACAGACATTCCTCGGCTCTCCCGGCGAGGCCAGGCTGCCGTCCCGCGGCACGTGGCCGGGGAGGGACGGGGCCGTGGCAGTCCGGTGGCCGTGCCCGTCCCTCTCCCGCCACAGCAGCGGTGCTGTGCATCTTTACCAGAGAGACGAGGGACGCTCTGTTTGCTATTCACAGGCAAAGTAATCCTTGAGCGGGGAGAAGAGGTGCCGGATGACAGGGACGCTCCACGATCCCCCCAGCAGCTTCTGGCGAGTCCCACGGCTGATGTTGGAGACATCCGTGTAGGCGAGAGGGAAACCAAAGATCCTGTGGAGCAGAGGCAGGAAAGGGGAGGTGAGGCAGAGCAGGAGCAGGAATCCCTTTCCTTGGGCAGTACCACTCCCAGGCCACCCCAAAGACAATGAGCATCGGGAGTCTCCTGTGGGGAGGGGATTCAGCTCTCCAGCACAATTGGAGCCCCATGTGACCTGAGCAGAGTCACCATTCTGGATGGGGCCAGGCTGTGAATTCCCACCATCCTCAGTGCCCTCCACCTTGTTGGATTTCCTGGCAAGGCTCCCATGTCCGGGCATCCAGCCTGCCTCTGCTCAGCAGCACCTCTGCAAGCATTGCCCTGGGGGTACTCCATGGAGATAGGACTGAGTAGCTCTGGGTAGCTCTGAGTCATGGGCTGGGCACTTCCCTTACAATCAGATGAAAGTCCAAGAGCCATTTCACATCACAAAGGCTTGGAATTGTCATTTTACTTTCAAATGCCATTAGCTCAGTGTTAACTCCAACAAATACTGACAATTTAAATATAAGCAAGGAAAACTATTTAACCCTAGTCTTGTTTACTAGCCAGAAGCATCCAACTAAAAAACTTCAGTTTTTTTTCTCACATAACTTGATGTGCAGGACTGCTTGTAATTGGATTTATCTACTCCCACTCCTTCTGTAGTGTTTTGCCATGAATTCAGGGTGCTACAGGCTGTGAAGTGTGGAGCAGGGTGCACTCATGCTTTGCCACAGCAGCTGCATTATCATGTGCACATCCCTGCAGGGAAGCTGCCCCTCTGGGAGCTCACTCCCAGGAGCTGGGCTTAGAGCCAGGGAGACAAAAAGCCCACAGGAACAGGCACTACAAAACAAACCAAAACTACTGTGAGAGGCCCAAGAGGACAGCAGACTGATTACCGGTCCATCCCAGGGAGGTTGCCCCAGAAGTAACGAGCTCGGTGGGCAGCTGATATCTTGATAGCATCAATCATAACTGGGTTACACTAGGGACCAAAAAGAGAGGAAATAAAAGTTAGAGGGAATGTTGGTTTGCCTCTCTCCTTCATGGACAGCCCTTCCCACTGCACTGCAGGAAGTTAAAAGTTTTCAGCAAATCCTCAGAATTATGTAGCTCCCACAAGCCCTGTTTCACACCAGAGAACAGCCTGGGTGGCCACATGAGCTCCCAGGTCATGGCCATGGCCAGCAGCTATTGACCATCACAGGGTGCTCAGTGCTGGTTCGCATGGACCAGGATCAGGATTGTCAGCCTCCAGTGGTGATTTTACACCAGCAGTCTCTACTGACCCACAATCCATCCTGGCTACCACAGAGTTAAAACTCCTTCCCAGTCCCTGACCACCCCCCCTCCCTAGAAATAACAGGCATTGCTGGGAACAGATGCTTTCTGCAAGGCTGGCAAAACCCCTCCCCCAGAGGACTAGTGCTTGGGTTTGACCTGATGAAATCCAGACGGGAGCATCCAGAGCCAAGACTAAACTTGATTCCTTGGCATGTGCACCAGGCAGGGGTTTTCCAGCACCAGGGCCACAGGAAACCATAGCAAGACCCTCACACCCGGCACACCCTGCACAGCCCAGCAAGTGTCACCTGCTCCAACGCCTTTCCCACAGCTGTCAGCAATCCCTACCTCCAGAAACCGGGAAATGTCCCTCTTGTCGTTGATCCTCATGGCCACCACATTCTCAAACATCCAGAAGAAGGGCCGCTCCTCGCCTGCCTTGGGACGAGCGTAGTTGAGCAGGTGGTAGAACTCGAAGAACAGCCTCCCAGTTCCTTCTGCGAGGAAAAAGCCGAGCAGCAGGTTTGGACCAGCTGGGACACGGGCTGCAGGGCCGGGGGGCCTGGCTGCCCTCCTCGCCAAGATGGGTACGGAGACAGCCCACCACCAATACAGCTTGGGGCTGAAACACTTCCCCAGGCTGTAGGGTGGCTCCATGCCCCAGGAACATCCCAAGGTATGCAGCCCAGCAGAGGCAAAGCAGCCTTACCAAACAGCGCCTTCCTGGTTGGATTGACAAGGGAAACATCGTCACAGGGGGTTCCACCGATCACCAGGTCAAAAGGACCCCACTCCTCAATCTGCAGAGAACAGACAATCCAGACCATTAGGAGATGCCACAGAAACAGCTCTCTGCTCCCCAGTGGGCCAGGGCACAAGCCTGTCCCAGAGCTGGTGGGGCGAGAGCCGTGCCCCCATGGTGCCATGTCCCTCAGGCTCCCACAGAAGCAGAGCTCACATTTCTCTTGGTTATGTTCCTGACATCGTGCACGTAGGTGATGTTGCCCTCGGGCCGCACGGTGCCCGCGGCGATGGGGTTCTCGCAGATCTCTGAGGCAATGTACTTCTCCACTTGGATGCCCAAGTCCTTCAGCACCGTGTACCCTGCCAACGGACAGAGGTCTGAGGTCGCACTGCTCTCTTTAGGTTCCAAGTCTCCTTCGTCAGCACCGCTCGATGTGGCTGCTCCTGGATGTCCTAGGTGGGTGTAGTCAAACAGCACTTCAGGGTGAGTAAACTTTTATTTGACCCATTCCTCCAGGCAGGTTTGCTTCCAGAAAGCAGAATGCCAGGGCTGAGTGAATTGAGCCAAACCAGTTGCACTCAGGCACTTCAGAGTACAGGTTACTGGTGTCCCCACAGCTCTGGTTTCTCAGGGAACCAGCCATCCCAGATCACACTTGGCACAGCAGGAACACCCCTATGAGATGCCCACACACGCCCTCTCCTCCATCCCTTCCCCTTTCATGCCCTCTCTCAATCCCTTCCCTCTCCTCCACAGCCCTGTCCAGCAGAAAAGGGAGACCCTGCCCTCATCTCTATTCTGATGGGGATCTTCCTGCTTTCAGCCCCTCCTCCCCACCACACTTTTAGAGACAGGTTTGAGCCCATGGAATGACTCATTCCCAAGGCCCAGTGCCAAGACCTACCCAGCAGTGCTCCCCCTACTGCCTCACCTGTTGCCACCCCATCGAACAATGAGAGCACTCGAATTGGTCTCCTCTTCGCTGGAGGAACTGTTGGGTAGATTTTGGGTGCAGCCTGCAATGGAGACAGTCATGAAACCCCAGCCCTGGCAGTGCTGCATTGTCCCATAAAGCTCTGAATGCAGCACCTCCACCTTCAGGACAGCATCTGCGGGACCAAGAGCCTGGCACCCTTGGAAGGGTGGATGGACAAGACAAGGGAGAGGAAAGAGGAAGTTCAGGTCATTCACCCTGCCCTCAGTGACCCTCTTCCCCACATCCCAGCACACTGGGTTCCCTGCCCACAGCCCTTACGTATTCCTGTCCCTTGTCACTGGTGAAGAAGTCCTGCAGGCGAGTGTTCCAGTCCTGCCGGCGCTGCAGCACGCCATGGTTCTGCTGGGGCTGGCACATGTAGCAGTTCCAGGGCTCCTGCTCTTTCACTCTGGCTGACGACCCTCGGCCCACCAGCACCTCCAGACACTCCACACAGAAGCACCTGCCAAACCACAACAGCTTGTGCTTGTCACCCCAGCAACCCCTTTGGGTCACCCCAGCTTCTCCTGGAGTCTCCCCTGCCATACACAGGAGCCCCCACCATTTTACAGAATATTTTTTCAGGCAGTACCCTGGTTTTTAAGGCTGCTAACACAAGCTGGTGACCAAGGCATGGGTAAATCTCCTGCCAACCTCCACGGGGCTTATTCAAGTGATGCCAGGCTCAGTAAGTGCAGGTAGGCTGCGTTGGGCTATGCTGCGTGGCAGGCAGCTGGGGAGAAGCACAGCCCCTGCCCAGACTCATGGAGCACCCTGCTTCCTGCAGCTCCCTGGGAATGATGCCAGGCCCTCAGCCCCAGGAGCAGAGACATGGAGCTCACCTGCAGCAGCTGCTGTTGCTGCAGAGCAGCAGCTCCTTGCCTGCGCAGCAGACGGTGCAGTAGGACTGGTACCCATCTTCGTCATACATGTAGAAGTACTCCAGGAATCTATCCTAGCAAAAGGACATCCAGGAGCAGAGGAGGATATAGGATCAGGAGCTGTGCTCAGAGGGTGGAGAACATAGATTTGCACCATTCCCTGTACACGATGAGAACTCAGAGATGTACATCTTGTTTCAGGTGGTGAGAACATGCTGGGGGACAGCCCCACGGGAGACACAGCATGGCCAGGACGTGGCACAGCCAGCCCCTGTCCCAGCAGCACTGGCTGGACCCCAGCCCCATCATCTGACCCCAGGCTCCCACTCAGCCCCAGCACGGCAGCACTTACCCTGCACGTCTGGCAGAGGCCCCCCTTGAACAGTGGGTGGAAGGTGGCCGGGTTCCTCCTCCCGCAGGACAAACAGCTCTCTGTGGGACAGAGAGAGCTACGCTCAACCCGGGGCAGGGAGCACCCAGGGCAGGGACTCCTTACACCACACCACAGGCTGCAGAGGCTGGAGCCTCCCCTTGGAGCCGTGTCTGGATAAAGCCTGCCCTGAGAACTGCATCCAAATGTGGCCTGACCTAGGAACTGTATCTGGATGAGGCTGTGGCTCCCCAGGGAGGATCCGCAGAGCACCCTCTCACCCTCTCACCCTGCACCTCACCTCAGCACCCTGCACTCACAGCACCTTCCCCCCTCCTACATGGTGCAGTTGAAAAGGGACCCACGACTGTTGCTGAGCACCCCCAGCACCTCACACCTCTTCCAAGCAGAGACAGTGTTTACCTTCCAGCTTCCCGCTGTTGCTCGTAGCTTCAGAAACCATTTGCTCTTTAGAAAATTGAAAAGAAGAAAATGGAAAAAAGAATTTATTATTCCTTATGTAACAAACTCTAAATGCACTCTCCTTACAGGTGCCTTATTTCTTGCATTAGAACTACTCCAGCTTTGCTGAGAGATTTGGGTGCAAAACCCACATCCTTTTACTGATGGAGATTAGAGCTCAGCATAGCAGCACATGGTCATGCTCCAAGCTGAGCCACTGGTGGGGCCCAGCCCATGTCTTGCAGTTGGGTTTGCTGGTGTCTTGTAAGGCACAAGTCAGCACCACTAGACCACAAAGGCTTTTGCCTTCAGAAACCAGGCTCATGGTCCCTGGGAAGAGCCAAGCCCTTTGCCAGAATGGTTTCCCAGTGCTCTCAGGGTGCACAGCCCAGGCCAAGCCACTCCCCAGCTCTCTCTGTTCATTACCTCGGGTCTGGTCCTCTTCCACTCGCTGCTCCTTGCTGTTGTTGCAGGGGTAGGTCTTCAGCCTCTTGGTGGGGGGACACTGTTCAAGGGACACCACCTCCTCTGTCCCATTCTTCAGCACCCCATTCTCTGCAAGAAAGGGAACCTTCCTTAAGCCTCCAGCCTCAGGATTGCCCCAGGATGCCTCTTGCCAAGCCCTGCTGCCAGGTCTCACTCCAGCCACAGCAGGACCCTTCCTGGCCACCTGGGTCCCTACACATGGTACAAGGCTCAGCCACTGCCCATGCCAGCCCCCACCAGCCCCCAGCCAGCCGATGCCACCACCTCACCTGAGCCTTTGGGTGGCCGCAGTCCCTTGAGCCCCAGGGGTTTGAAGCCAGTGATTGCCCAGTCAATCATGGGCTTCAGCTGCTCCTCCAGTGACTCCCTGGGGCCAGTTGTAAACGTCTTCCCCGACCGGCTCCGGGCAACCTGATGAGGATGGGCAGCAGGGGTCAGGGTGACAGGGTGGTCTCCGTTAGGGGAGCAGTCACAACCTGCCAGGGCCACAATCCCAGGCCCCCTCCCCACCCAAAACACACACACACACACACACACACACACACACACAAAAACACACACACACGTGGGGCTTGGTGGCCCAAGGACAGTGGCAGCTGATGGATTCCCGCTCTGGGACATTCCGGTGCCTCCATCCCTCCAATGAGCTCATCTGTCCTCCACCAGCCCCAGTGGAGCCAGAAGCAGGGACAGCCCAAACACACCTCTTGCCCAGATTCTGCACCCTGGAATTCAGCAAGTGGCAGCAAGAAAAGGCAGAAGAGGTGCCTGTGGGTCTGCAGCCCCATATGCTGACATGTGATGTATCCCTTGGATGGGGAGTGGATTCATGGCTGCTCAGCACCAGCCCTGACTTCAAAGCACATCCAGCACTGACCTGGGACACCTCTGGCCAGCCTGGCACTGCCCTGCTGCCATGATGCTGCCACGTCTAAGCCCTCACAGGGAGCCTGGCCTGGGGGTCTGGAACAGTGAGACCCTGGAGCAGCAGCAGCTACCCCTAAACCCTCAGGATAAACAGAGTCTGGCCCCACAGCTGCACTTGGAAATAATCTCAGCAGTGAAAGGAGGGTTTTACTGCACTCCATCTCACAGGCCCCCCAGCCCAGCTGGTTTAGCTGGCACCTCCTCACCCACCCACCCACCCCTGCTGGTTACCTCCAGGGCATGGTAAATGGCACGGCGGTAGGACACCAGCTTGTTGAACGTGGAGGAATTGAAATGTTGCCTAAAGGCCATCAGTCCCACAAGTTTGTCTGCAGAAACCTGAGAGAGAGCATCAAGATCCCACCTGTGAGATGGGAAAGCCCTGCTTGGCCATATCCCCCCAGCACAGTGCAGTCCCCAGCTCCAGCACTGTGGCCACACCAGGAAGCCCAGTGGCAGCTTTGCCAAGAGCAGCAGCGCGACAAGGACGGGTGGGTTGCACCCTCTGCCGGCACTGCTGGCATGACACCAGCACGGCACTTCCTCCCTCCTGCCTGCAGCATGGGAGGGGTTGGATATCCTCACTGGATATTAGGAAAAGGTTTGTGGTTGTGCACTAGAACAGGCTCCCCAGGGAAGTGGTCATGGCATGAGGCTGACAGAGCTCAGGGAGTGTTTGGATGACACTCTTGGGCATATCGTGGGATTTTAGGGCTGTCCTGTGCAGGGAAAGAGCGCAACTCAAAGATCCTTGTGGGTCCCTTCCAACTCAGGATGCTCTGATTCTGTGAGGGTGACCAAGCTCTGAGGGGACATCCCTTACCAGACAGGGGAAGCCCTGGAGCATGGACAAAACCCTGTGAAGTGGCCAGGCAGATGTCCCTATGTCTGGATGCTGTCACCAACCTACCAGTCATTAATTACAGACTGGTCACAGTCATGAAAACTTGCCAGGGCCTGGATATGCTTAACACTGGGAGGGGAGGCCTGGGAGGCTGCAGGAGCACATATACCCCACAGCCAGCCTCAAGAGGGGTAGAAACATGCAGGGAAGGGTGTTTAGGGCTGGGCAGCAGGCTTACCTCAGAGAACTTCCCGTCTCCAAACCACTGCACCCACCGCATGCCCGAGACTGCCTGGCGCTTGGCCGTGGCTCTGTGGGAGACAACGATCGCAGGCCACCAGGAAAAACCTTTGATCTTTCCCCAGACGAGTTCCCCAATTCCAAATTCCTTCCCATCCTGAAAGCACAACACGACAGATCAGCCAAAAGTACAAACTCCTCATTTTGTCTGGGCAGCTGCGCAGGAGAGCCCTGGAGCACAGGAGACAGCCCCGGTGTGTCACCACGTGTGCCACGCGTGTGGAACCTCTGTGCAGTGATCTACAGAAACTGCAACCCCTCCCTCAAGCACAGGGCCAAGCCATTCTCCCCTGGGAGCACTGGATCCCAGCCCTGATCCATGCTGAAGCTTGGTGGGGAGGCCCGTGCGTGCCAGCCCCGTGCTGAGCCCGTGCCTGGCACACGGCGTGGTGCATGCTCCGTCCTGCACAGCCCACCTGGCACGGGGCCCGTGCGTGTCCACTCCTGCCTGCCCTCCCAGGGTCTCTGCGAACACGGGGAAGCCTCGCACCAAGGTTGTTCCCTGGGTGCCCTCAGCAGATGAGCCTCCTCCTTGGCACAGAGCAGCCACTTCACAAGGCTCACAGCTCAGCCTGTGTTGTGTGGCTGCACCCCAGGGAGAGGACACCCACCCACCCTCTTCTTGTTCCTTCGAGGGAGAACAGGAAATGTGGCAGAGTGAAAACGGAAGAAAAAGAAGAGCTGAGAATCTTGGTGTGACCCATCGCAGGCCATGCTGGGTGTGTGCACAGCAAGGCACCTCACAGGGAGCAAAGTCACCTCTCTCCCTGCAGAGCCCTCCTTCCCAGCTTTGTTCTGCAATTAGGTACTTAATTATGCAGCAAGATGCAATTGCCCAATTCCTGCAAGTCTGGGGCCCTGCCCTGTGGCCTGCAGGCGCCGAATCCCGCTCTGCAGCCCCAGCAGCTTTGATTCTCTCCAGCATCCCCGACAGAAATGTTTTCTGCACATGCAACTGCCTGTCTCAGCAGGGCACGGCACACGGCACACGCATGCGTGTCTCGGGGGGCCCATGTGTGCCACCAGTGGCAGCTTGGCAGGGCTGGTCCCCAAAGCATCCAAGCCTGATAGATGGAGACAGCCCAGCACCATCACACCCCAGACATGCAGAGGAGGAGAAACAGCACTGAGGTTTCCAGTTTGTTTTGGGACAAGTCACAGAGGTTCCTTGTGTTCCTGGGTGCAGGAGCAGAGTTCAGCCCCTCCGTACCTGGTACTCCAGTGCCATGCCCATGTCTCTGCTCTCTGACTCCTCTGCCCCCAGCTCAACAGAGCTGTTCTGCCCCTCCTGGGAGCTGCTACCAGAGAGTGTGCTGCTGCTCCGGGATGAGTCCTGGGAATCCTCCTCCGTCAGGTCGATGGTCACAGGTGTGGGCACGGCTGAGCGACGCCTGGAGCTCTGCATGGCGGAGACAGAGGAGTGTGAGTGCAGCAGGGAGAGGGACAGGGGAGCAGAGACCTGCCCCACATCACCCCCCATCCCCACATCACACCCAGCCCTGTGCCATGCCCTGCAGTCAGATCAGAGAGGGGGAGCCAGGGAGCGAGGGCACCACTGCAGCCATCAATAGAGAGGAGAGCCCTTAATGAGGCCATCTGCAGGAGAACTGCTCTGCTTTTACTGCCAGCCCCAGAGGAAATGGTGCACCACTGCCTCCTCCCACTTTCCTGTCCCAAATCCACCCCGGGGTGCTCAACACACCCAGCTCGTAGCAGGGGCAAAATACAGCATAAACACACCCCCTTCACAGGGGAAAGGGAGGCACAAGGAGGCTGCACCATCTCTGAAGATACATGACCAGGGACCAGGGCACAGCAGCAGTGCAGGTCTCTGGAGCCCCAGGGAAGCCCCAGGGAAGCCTCAGGGAAGTCCCAGGGAAGAAGCCCTGGCCCTGCCAGACCCTCACCCGCACGGGAGTTGGCAGGTCCCTGAGAGTCTCCACACTGCGTGGTGGTTCCTTGATCCGCATCTCATGCCGGGTCCGCCCTGCCTGGAACATGAGGCAGAGGGTGGTGGGCTTCTGCCTGAGGCTGCTCTCCCACCCAGCACTGCCCCAGGGCTGCACCTGCTACCAGCACAGAGGGCTGTCACAGAATGGGTGCCCTCCTCACAAGGGGACACGGACAGTCTGCGCCCCATGGGGCTGAGCACCACAGGCAGAGTCCTGCGGAAGGTGAGAGTAGGCAGATGGATGCTGGAGGCACCTTGTCCTGAGCCCCTTTGGGCAACTTTCTCCTCCACTGCACCTCTGCAAGGCTCAGGAGCCCGATTGCTGCAGCCTACTACACCCACATGACAGAGAGATCAGGAGCCACAGCTGGGAAGACTGGGATGCCAGGAGAACCACAGAGCACAGCAGAGCATCCATCCCAGGCATGGTCCCACTTACACACCCTTGATGCTCTCACACTCCTGTGGGTGCTCCTTCCCACAGCCAACCCTGCAGCAGCACCCAGGGCAGCCTTTCTCTGGTGGTCACAGTTACAGTCCAGCCCAGACTTGTCTCCTGCATCCAGCATAACAGAGGTTCAAAATTAAATGACATTTTGCAGTGAAGAGCCCTCAAACTAAACATAGTGGGAGAGTTGAATTTTCACCCACTGGACTTACGGCTCTTTCTTTTGGAAGCTGCCTCATTTCAGGCAGATCTCCAACCCTGGGGTTTAATTCTATCTCAAAACAATACAGCCAGAAGGCAAAAAAAAGTCCAGACCCTGGAGGCTTGTCACTCTGGTCAACAAAAGAGGGTGGGTGAAATTTGGGTCCAGCCCCACAGCAGCTAAAAGCAGCTCACCCTAACAGTGGGAGGCACGAGATACTTCAGTCTATCAATACAGCCAAGACTTTAAAGAAATTATCAGCATAATTATTAGGCTGCTGCAACATGCAATGGGCATTGCTGCATCCCACACCACCCCCTCCTACTGCTGTGGTATCATGAGAAGCAGGAATTTAAAAAGTAAAATACTAAACTGGTGAGTATTGCATCCATCACTGACTATTCCTCTAGCACTGAGCACAAAAGAAGCCCAGAGGGAAAGAAATGAGGATCCTGGCACCGGATGCCCCCTGACAGAGCAGCCCCAAAAAGCACCCTAGGTGTTCGCTTACCCTCTGCGCTGGCGCCAGATCGAGCGGCCAGGCCAGGTCCTCCTTGGAAAGGTCTCCATTGCTGTCCTTCTTCTTCAGGGGCAGCAGCCCCAGGCCTCTGGAATCTGTGCAAAGACAGAGCAGCCTCAGGCTCTGCAAGCCCACCTGGCTGTGTCCCTGCATGCCCCAGCCTCCCACTGCTCCCACAGCACAATTTGGAGACACCAAAACCTCATCTCGGAGAAACATGGCTGAGAACAGAGACAAGTGGCGCCCCGAGGGCTCCCCCATTGTGGCACCAATGCCCCAGATCACCCACCTGTCCCTAAAACTGGGAGGGATTAGCAGCAAGCATGGGGACATTCTGATCTACTGCTTTGTTCCTGAAAGCTCAGAGGCACAAGGAAGCCACATGCCAGCTCTTCAGGGCTTCAAATCCCAAGAGGTGGGATTTGGGAACGCTGACTGGAGAATCCCAGAAGCAGCAATGCAGTCCCTCAGGTCAATGGCACCCCTCAGGCTGAAGGGGCTCCCCTGCTTTCCTCATTCCTCACTGAGGAGCAGAGCCAGCATCCCAGTATGGCACACATTTCCACAACCATAGCATGGCCTGCACTGGATCACAGAAATCCAGTGGGGTCACGCAGGGACTCTGGCCACAGCCACAGCACTTCATCCCCCAGCATGGCTCTGGGACAGAGGCTGTGAGATCCCCAACCCCCTGCATCCTTGCACATCCTGGGAGCACTCTGGGCTCAGCGTGGTGACCCTCACCTGGAGTGCTGGGCTTCCCATTCGCCTCCAGTACAACACCAGGTGCATTGTCCCCATTGATGAGGATCAGCTTTGCCCTACAGTCTGCCTCATCCTGCCCGTGGCTCTTGTCCTTCTTCATAGTCGCCTGTAGAAGCCAAAATGGAAAGGAAATTCAGCAGTGCAAGGAAGCCCCAGGGAGGGCACAGAAAACATAGTGAGGTCCTTGAGCCAGCTTTCACTTCATGCCCTTCAGCAGAGGGGTCTGACTGGAGATGCATCTAAAGGTCCTGGGAAATAAAGTGCATAACCTCCACACAAATGTGGTGGTCCTGAAAACCAACCAGCAGCTCCATCTAAAAAAGATCCCAGACACAACCCACTTATCCTTAGGGAAATACTAGGTTTTCCCCCAATGTCTGTATGCTGGCTCAAAGCTGCCAAGCCCCAGCTCACTCTGGCAGGCCCTGTCTGGAGAGGAGTTGCATTTTCCTGGCCACCCTGTAGAAACCAGGGGACAGCCCAGCCCTGGGGACAGCCCACCCCTGGGGCAGCAGGCTCCCTGTATTCTAGCTGCCCAGCCCAGAGGTGGGTGGGCTGTTCCTGCAGCAGTAGGACAAGCAGGCAGCCCGCCATGAGGGGCAAAGTCCTGGAGCCTGCATTAAACTCTCCCAGAGAGAGAAAACTCCTCCTGCCCCCGCTCTTGGCCTCAGCTCCCCTGCCCCAGGGTGAAGGGGCAGAGCACGGGGCTGTGCCACAGCACCCCAGCACCCCCTGCCCTGGTGTCCCCCTGCAGAGCTGGGGCTCGCCTTGCTTGCTGCCTTCCTTCCCTTGGGCCTGTTTTCTGAGCCTCCCTGGCTCCTGTTTTCTGAAGTGGAAGCTCCCAGCTCTCCCAGAGGCACCCGGACGCCATGAACTGTGCTGCCTCATTGCCGGGCTATGGGTCTGTGCTGCAACTTGCCTCTTCAGCAGCACAGTCATTTATTTTAGCAGCACGTAACTCAAGAGCTGAGGAGATTGCAGGGCTTTGCCCACCTACAGCCGTGTTAGGAAGCCAAAGCAACACCCCCCTCAGCCCCAGGGAGACCCCAGCTCCAGCCCACCGCCCCTTCTGCGTCACTCTCCTTCTGCATCGCCTCCAACCACTGCCCTAACAATTGAGATTTCTGCTTTGAAATCATCTGTCAGCACCTCTGACAAACAAAGACCGGTTGGAGTTCGATATTTTGGATGCAGAGGGCAGAGTTAAAAACCTGGTAACACCCAAACACAAAGGAAAACAGGTGTCCAGCACCCACCTCCACAGGCAGAGACCCCGGTGCGCATACTGCCTCCCCCCTCGACAAAGGGAGGAGAGGAATGGCACCGGACACTGCATAACCCCCCCCAGCTGTGTGTGCAGAAATCCCTCTGCTGCAGCACATCTGCTCCCAGACCCGACAAACAATTCCTGGGAGCTGCCCAGACTCGCCGCCTGCCCCCGGCCCAGGCGGATGGTCCCACATGGCCCCAGATGCTCCAGGATGCAGCAATCCACCACAGCACAGCCAGGTCAGGGTCAGCTCCTCCTGGTCTGCACCCCCTCCCCTAGCCCACAATGCTGCAGAGCAGCAGCAGCCATGACTGGCAGCAAAAACTCACCAAAAAAAGTAAATGCCCCTTGGGAATCCCTACAGGAAAGCGTTAGGCATGCTGCTCTCCCAGCATGAGGGTGATCTGAACCAGAGGGTAACAAGGAGATGGAGCTGCATGAGGCAGGCAAGATTCAGGGAGAACAGAAGCAGGCAAGGATATCTCCCAGCCTTCCCAAACACCTGCACCCACAAAACTCCATTGGGACCCTCAGAAAACCTCTACATTCATTCCTTTGTCAGGAACCTTAGTCCAAGAAGTTCAAACTTGCATTTCAAAATGGCTTTTCCTTTCTCAGCCCCGGGACTGCCTCATGTCCAGCACACCAGGCAAGGTTGTCCTGTCAGCCTAGCACTGGGGAGATGAAGAGCTAAGGAGACAGTGTGGCCAGGTGTCCCCAGGGACACAGCCAGGACTGAACACCTGATGCCCCAAGCTCAGCTTTGCCACGTGCTTAGGGAGCTCCCACATGGCCTTTATTCCAGCTATAAAGTGGGGAAAAAAGGGTTATCCCTTTGGAAGGAACTGCTCACTGGCAGAGCAGAGACCCACAGGTGACAGCTCTGTGGGTCCATGGCACAGGCCACAGGCCCTGCCGCAAGCACAGGCACATCAGCTCCCTGCTTGGTCCGTGCCCTTCTCCAGCTGCATTGCTCAGGATCACTCGAGGACATCCCATCACCATCCTGATGGGAAAAGGAACAGCACACCATGGCACAAATGGCTCGTTCAAAATCCCTCTCCCAAAATCCTAAGCCTATGCAGGACTGCAATTCCCATCCCTTTTCCTGCTGTTTGCACCAAGTGCTGAAGCCACACGAGCCCATCCTGCTGCCCACTGCTTGCCCAGGGTCCCCCGCAGGAGCCACATCCTTGTGAGCTCACCCCCTCCTGCTCAAGAGGAAGGCTTGGTTCTTTGTCCTCGCCTCCCCTTGCAGAAACACCAACATGTGCACTCAGGGCATTAATAATAAGAAACAGAGCACTGCCCTCACATGTGTTGGCTCACAGGAGACCAACCCTGCAGTGTTTTTGCATTTCCCAGCACCCTGCAAAACACACGGGTTGCTCCACAGTCATGCACTCCAGACAAAAATCCATAAGGTGGCAAGTAATGCAGAATTCCAGCTCCATTGCCGAAAGCTCCCCAAGAGCCGGACACCAGTGGCAGCCGTGGCACTGCCTGGTGACCAGGACCTGCCCTGCAGCCAAATCCCACCGAGAAGACAATGAACTCGCTGACTCCACAGCCCGCCTTCATTTTGCAATACCAGTTTCTTTAAGATTTAAACTGGTTAAAGACCATGCCACAGTATTAACTGCTTAGAGAAAGTTCTGGTCCCTGCCTGGCCATGACTGCTGGTCACCCTGGAGTGGGCAGAGCAGGCAGAGTGGGAAGAACGGCTGGGCTCCCCTGGCAGAGAGGGCAGGGTGGGCAGGGCTCACCTGGCCGGGCCATGCTCTGGACTGCATCCCTGCCCCTGCTCCCGGGGCTGCTCCTCCAGCCTGGCCCAGGCTGGTTTCAGTTTTCCTTGCTGGGAAAACAGGCCTGTTATCAGGTGCATGTCCCCAGGAGGTGGGGAGTTTTCGGACTTTGCCTCCAGACAGGGGCATGCATATCAAAAGCTGGAGGGAAGAGCTTTACCCATGGCTGGGATGGAGCCATCGCCCAAGCCCTGTTTGAATAACAAAAAGAAATAAAGGACCCTAATGGCCGGGCTGGCTCTGGGCTGTCGTGCACACTAATGGCCTTTAAGTCTCCCAAAAAGATACATTTTCTTCTAATCCTGGGAAGAAAGGAGTTGCTGGGTTGGCAGTTCCGTAAGAAAGGCGCCGATTTCGCAGATGTGTTCGTTGGGAAGGGCAGGGGGCGAAGGGCAGGCTCCCCCTGCCCGCTTCCTGTGCCTGGCCTCTCTGCTCTCCCGGCTCCGGCACTTCCCTCCATTTCCCCCGGTTTCCTCCTGCCCCGCTCCGCTCCCCCCGCAGCCCTCGGCGCTCACCCCGGCTCTCCCCGCTGCCTCTCAAGCAAAGCTGGGTTAAAGAAAAGAAACAAAACACAAACCGGCCCCTCCTCTCCCATTGCAGACCAGGCTGGAGACGTCTCCCGGACGGCCACCATCCCCGCCAACCGCTGCTCCAGCTGCTCCGGGCTCTTTACCATGTTCATCCCGCTGGGATCCCGCCGAGCCCCCCGGCGTGGGGCAGTGGCAGCCGGCGGGCAGTAGCTGGGGGCTGTGGGCAGGGCTGGAGGCTTTGGGGGCTGTGGTGGCTCTGGTGCACAGGTGAGTCCCGCTCAGCGGTGGTGAGTCTTCTGTCCGGAGTCGTCACTGCTTCATTCTCCCCCTGAACAAGAGGACATAAAGATGACAATGACACCTGGCTGTCCCCATGGCCGCCCGCCAAAGCCTGTGCAGCCCCAGAGACGGGACTGGGATACCCGGCCTCACTCCTCAGTTGATTGAAAATTAGGAAGCTGGAAACTGAGGCAGGAAAGGAGAGTACTAATACTGCTCAGGGCAGCACGCTCCAGCCACTCTTTCTTTGCCCTCTCCCGTTCCGAGGGAGGTCGGTGCAAGACCACCTCTTGCCCCAGGACAACCACTCGCCCCGCCGCTCCCCTCTCCCGGCTTCCCGGGACTTGTGTCCCACGCTGGGGCCGCTCCGAAGAGTTCATTCCTCCTCCGAAGACCTGCCCTCCCCGGAGGGAGGGCACCCGGGCTCGGCAGGAGGCGGATGCCAGCAGAGCCCTGCGGTCGATACCTGCTCCGGCCACCGCGTCCCTCCGGATCGGCCCCGGAGAAGCTTCGCGCCCGAGGTGCGGCCGGGAACCTCTTTTCCTGCCAACAGAGGGAAGATGCGCTGTCAGATCCCCGACCGAAAACCGAAAACAAAGGTGTTCGGTCCGGGGCAGCAGCGCCACCGTGTCCCGGTACCCAGCAGTTCCCCATGGTGCCCTCGGCCTGGAGGCGGCGCTGCCCGGGACGACCGAGCCGGGCAGGGGGACCCCGGCCCCCCCCGAACCATCCCGGCCCCGCAGCCATCACTCGCCGTATCAGCGAGGAGACCCTCCCGCCGCAGTCCCTGGCTCAGTCCCCCCGCGGGGGGTCCCGCACCGGCCCCGTGGTGACAGTCCCGGGACGCGCCCCCGGGGCTCGCGGCGCCTCCGCGGGAAACTCCGAAAGTTGCAACGGGACCGGAGGGGTGGGCGGGACCAGGGGGACTTAGGGGACCATGCCCGAGGCTGTGGGACCGACGATCTCCACAACACGCCCCAGAGCCGAGTGCCGGCAACAAGTGGCGGCGGGGCCCACCATCCCCTGCCCAAGCCCTCGGGACGAAGCCGCGAGTTCCCGGTTACCGGACACCGGGGCCGCCACACCGGCCGGGGCGCTCCCGCCGCCGCGCTCCGGTGCGCCCGGTGCCGCCTTCCCCTCCCGCCTCATTGTCCCCCGCCACCGCCGCGGACAACAAAGCCGCCCACGAGGATGTGCCAGGGCTCCGGCTCGGACCCTCCGGTCCCCCCGGTCCAGCGCTCACCTGCGCCGCGGCGGGACGCGCCGTCCAGCGGGGCCGCGCCGCCGCTCGCCGCTGCCCGCGCCCCGGCCGGCCCCCGACAGCCCCGCGCTCCGGTTACATGGCGCTTTAACCCTGCCCGTGCTGGGCAGCCCCTCCTCCTCCTCCTCCTCCTTCGCCGCCCCATGGCGGGGGAGGGGAGCGCGGGGCCCGCACCGCCACCGCACCCGCCAGGCCCCCCAAGCCCGTGGGGCACGCAGCCCTCGGACTCCCGCATTCCCCCAGGGCCCGCATCCCCCGGGGCGCCACATCCTTCCCCGCGGCGACTCCACACCCCCCCGGTGCCCCAATGTGTCCCATCCACTGCCCCACATCGCCCGGACCACCGCCTAGCACCCCATATCTCCCTTGCCTCGGCTCCCCGCGTACCCGCTCCGGCGCTCTGCATCACCTCCGCGGGGCTCAGCATCCCTCTCCGGGGGCTCCACATTCCTCTGATGTCTCACACCCTCCCGGGCTCCCCACCCCGTGGTACCCGCCGGCGTCCTGGTATCGCCTCCACTGCCCGGCATTCCCCAGGGTTCATCATTTCTCCGGAGCTCGGCCCTTGGAGCCCCGCACAGCTCAATCCCGGAGGCAGAGGAGACTCCCTTGGCACCCTGGGGCCGGGCAGAGCCCTCTCCCACCGAGCCACCTCTCTGCCCTCCGGTTTCCAGCAGCACCATGCCCCACACAGCCCCATGCAGCACAGCCCCGCTCAGAGCACCGTGAGCAGACAAAGCCTCACAAGTTTTACACTCAGTTTTTGTTTGTTCTTTCCCTTTCCCGTCCAGAGGCAAGACACTTGCAGGGCTGCGCCGGGGCCAGGGACACAGCCCGCGCCTCTCCTGTCCCAGACAAAGCATCCGGAGTCCACGTGGGGTATAATCTTCCCTGCTCGCCTGTTATTACTTCTAGATTCAGCAGAAAAAAAGTGTGTAACAGTAAGAAAAGGAATATGATTATCCTGGTGTGATAGAAATTAGTTTTCAGGGTCAGGAGGAAATCTTAGTTAGCCAAAGTGTCTGAAATCTGCAGGACCAGCCCCAGGCCTGTACGGCAGGTTCCCCCAAACCACACCTCCATCCCTGCACAACACAAGCATGAAAAATTTGGCAGCAAATGTAAAAACTGCTCTGCAAGTGAACAGGAGGAGCTGAGAAACCCACTCTGAATAAGCCCTTGGGGATACTAAACGTCACCATTCAAACAAACATGCACCACATAAACCTAAAACAAATTTGCAGCTCAGGCAAGTACATTAAAACAGGCAAATATATTTTACTCCCATTTGTTTTTCCAGAATTAGGAAAGGGAAATGCTTTTGAGAGCTGTGCTCATGAGAGTTTCCAGGGCACTGTGAGGGTAGAATCAGTCCTTCCCGCATCCACGGGTTCCTCTCCCTTTCTACGGAAACCTTCCTGCTGCTGTTGGCCTCGCTGACCTGCCATCAATCTCCCGCCAGCCGAAACGCCCTCTTTCCCTCTCTGCCCCTCAGTTATCATTTTATTCAGGAGAGCAAAGCTCTGCAAACTGCTTGTGGGAAAGGTCTGGTACCAGACAAAGCAGCTCTGGCAGATGATGAGCCAAAGCCTGATCCTTTTCCTGTCTTTGCTACACACACCAGAGAGATGCTGAGAGTTTATTTCTGTTCAATCAAGAGGATTTGTATGTCATTTCACAGGAAACAAATTACCTCTATAGAGGATTTTATATCCAGGCTCCTGCCACTCATTCCAGGCACCTGCATCACGCTCTCAGCAGCTCCTGTTGACCCAGGGCTGGCTGGCATCAGCAGCCTCTGTCAGAAGAGTACCAAAGCAGCCCCCTCACTGCTTCCCACCAGCCCTGTGGCTTTCCAGCATAGACCAGTGATGGGACATGGCTGTGTGGGCAAAGCTCCTCCACTCCAGAGCTGGAGCAGCTACAAGGAGCAGGCAGCACGGCCAGGGCTCATGTGAGCAGGAAGGGAAAGCTGAGGGTCCCTCACCATGCCTGGGCATAAGCAGCATGGCCCCCACACACCATTGCCATGGCCACATCCCTGCCCAGGATGGAGGAACTCCCATCGGCAGGAAGGCTGGGCTTCCCAGCTTCTGCAAAAAGTGATTCCAGCAAGAACCATTCCCCCAGTCTCGCTGTGCTCCTTTGGCTGGCTGGCATCTCAAATTCATGGAGCCAGTGACCAAACAGCTGAAGGAGCCATTCCCTGGCACTATGACACAGTCCGGACTGGCAACATCCATTCACATCGGAAGTGACTCCTCATTTTGCACATGCTTCCCAGCAACCATTCCAGCTCTTCCACACATAACTCCTCACTCCCAACCCTGAATCCTTCTCTTCACTGAAGGCTGCTCAGCCAGTGTCTTCTCTGAAGTGCACCTGGGGTATGTCACCATGCCCAGTTCCTCTCTGTTCACCTAGTTCTCACACTCCAAATTTCTTCCTAAAATTCTCCTTTGCCACCCTGGCCAGGCAAACCAATGCCACTCCCTGCCCAGAGCTCTGCTCTAGCTGCCACCACCTCCCATCTTTTGCTCTGCCCCCAAAGGTTTTAGCTGGGACCTACTCTGTGTATCACAGCAGTGTTCATGGAGATCCTCCACAAATAAAGCGATTGAGCAAATATGTGTCATTACCTACAGCTGGCAGCAGTGTAACATTGTCACCTCCGGATCTTTTGGGTCCTAGATTCCCACATCCCAGTAATGGCTGACCACTTGTTTGGTCTTCTTGCAGGCAGGGAGGAGCACCAGCACCATTAAATCAGCTTGGACAGTCACAAGCTGGGGCTGAGAGCAGGAGGAACTTCTCTTTCCACCGGAGTTGGCGGCGATGCTCCTGCTGCATTCAGGCTTTGGGGTGCCCATGTTGATGCACACACAGCTCAGCAGCTCTTTCCCAGCCCATAGTAATACCGTTCTCACTGCACAGCATTCTTCACTGCAAGACCCCATCGCAGCACGTCCCACAGGATGTCTCCTCCTCTTCCATGAGTATCTCCATGGTCTGAGCCCTCACCCCAGCCCTGCGCTGGCCACCTGCCTCTCCACCAGCTCCACCAGTGCTGCTCCATCACAGCTCTCAGCAGTCAGTCCCTCCTCACCACGGCTCCTGTCTCCTGTCCCTGGCACCTCTGCTGAGTCCAGGGAGAGCTGTGCCACTCAGCAGAGCTCTGACTGCTGGAATCAAGGTCTGTTCCTGCTGTGGGAGAGCCTCATCCTGCTGCCACATGTGGAATACAGCCTCAGCCTGCCTTACAGCTGGGCTAGCTTTTCCCATCTGGGGAGAATTGCTGTTTACACAGAGATAGGAAATGTTATCCCTCCTACAAGAAGTTTCTAGCCCTTCCTGTGGGCTGGCCAGGCCCACATGATACAAACCTCTAATTAAAAAAAAGGTTAAAAATAAGTGTCATCCGTGTACCCAGAACATCTAGAAAGTCTGCAGCTACCCGCCTGCAAACTTCAAACGCCAAGGCACACAAAGAAAAATCTTCAATGCCTCTCTAACAAAGCTGGCCACAAAATCCTCTTTTTCCTAGAAAACAGGATACGCCTGCTACAGCCTAATCTGAAGTGACGAGGCCTCCCCAAACCACCCTCCTAAGCA